TCAGTACTGTTTTTGTTAATAAAGCACTATTTTAGTTTTTGTTCAGTATCAATTTTAAAACTATCGGTTAATTAATCTGTATCGGCCAGTGTGGTCCAACCTAGCTATCGGTATCGGCAAAATCCACTATCGGTCGACCTCTAGTTAGAATGTCCCTAAAATACAAGATATGGGGCAAAAATGCCCCTTTTTGAGTTTTTGTCTCATATTTACATCACATAGTTAAGCAATATCACACGAGCAATAGGCTAAGTGCAATATCACACAAATGCAAATGTGATACTGATCTTATACAACAGTTCAGTAAGAAAGAAGTTAATATTGTGTTATTTTAGACACAATGTTGTCTGTTTTGCTCAATTTTGCCCACGGAAATATAAAGACAAAGCAGAACTGTTCGTCTCCGAGGAACACACAGCGGCATTTCATTTCTTAATGCACGTTTTGAACGAATTGGGTGAATCATTAGGCGCGTTGGATTTGAAGCGGCGCTGCACAGACCAATCGTATGAAAGAAAGTATGAATACCGCGAGAGCGATTCAAAAGCATGCAGAATCTTCTGCTATTAAAGAAATAATTTCATATTTCCATAGTAATAATAATAAAATTAATAAAATAAATTATTAAAGGTATAGTTCACCCATCCAAAAATGACAATTGTGTCATCATTTACTCACCCTCATGGTCCAAAAGAGCATATGTAAAAACTTTTATCAAAATATTTCTTGCTGAAGCTACTTTTTGAAATGTCTGTTTGATGCTTTACACGACTTTAAATTATCTTTTGGGAGTAATTTCTCAGCCAAATTTGATGTGCGATTAATTAATCGCCACATCATGTAATTAATTAGATAAAAAAAATGTAATCGCTTACCAGCCCTAAATTTAAATCGCTTACCAACTAATTAAAACTAAAAACGAATTAAAACTTTAATAATCAGAAATACATATAATTACAGTTATTTTATTATTATATTAAATACTAAATTATACTACTACTAATAAAACTGTAATTATTATATTATAAAAAAATTATTAATGAAGGGAAAAAATTTTTTTTGTTAAATTCTTCACAAACTCCCAAGCACCCCCTTGAGGCCCCCTGAAAACCCCCTTGAAAACTCTTGCTCTAGTTGGGTTTTGTAATAATGGTGGAAACTATGATTATACCATCTCTGTTACCAAATCAGATGCAAGCCCCTTATAAGAACATCAAGAATGAATGGAAACAAACAAATACGAGCAGCTTCAGATGCCTTTACCCCATTATGGGCGTCTTCGTAATCCATGCTTTCGTTGGTCGCACCAACACCAGTTACCCGAGCTCCTGCAAAGACACGACATCATGAAAGGCTGGAATGGCGTCCTTTGTCAACAAGACGAGCAAATACAAACACAAAGTGGAGCACATACAAACACACTGCCATGAGCAAAGCCGATTGGGCCATCCAATACAAGCATACAGAGTGGAGAACAACAGCATCAAGATCAGCCACTAAATCAATAACAGATACCCAATGTGGAAGAACTGAACCCAGATACGGTCTATCAATGAGGACGCTTTTGAATGAATAACAGTGAATTCAGTTCTCAGCAGTCAAATGATCTATAGCTCGGTTTATCTGTTGTGTTCCTTTCCTTATTATTCTCCACCTTCAGAATAATATATATGAGATCTTTATTGCAGGAGAGATTTGAAAAGGTTTGTTTGCTGCTCAGTATCCTGCTAATGCGTTTGTCTAATCATTCTCCAATATAAAACAAAGGCTTCTTATGATCAAATCTCAATGACGGCATTATCTGATTACATTGAGTTTCACAGTGAAAGTGCACCAACTTTTGGACAAAAAAGCAGATAGCTGGGGAAATTCTTTGCATACCAGTCTACTGTATGCAGCTGTTGAGAACTTGGCCTTGTCCTCTGCACTGGAGCAGTGTGATAGCACACAGGCCTAAAATAACCGCTAATGGAGCTGTGTTTGTGTTCGGGTTTTATCGGCTGCTTCGATCAGCCAAGTCTCTGAGATCTTCAAAGCTTTCCAAAGAGCAGTGTCTACAGTGCAGGCAAGCATAAAGAGACAAGAAAGAGAGAGAGAAAGGAAGTGGGTGTAATTTCCTCAGGAAACGATCACAGCCATTTTTTGTCAACCTGTCTGCAAAAGTCATGTTCAGAGCAACAGTGAGCATAAAACAAAGGAAAAAGACAAGGAGGGACAAACACATACACAAGTGTATGACACACAAAAGCATAAGGTGAAAAGATTTATGCCACTTTCCACAAGTCGGGTACTCTCTGGCATCCCATGATTGTTTCAATGCATTACAGACACAAATACGATGTTTTAATTTGTAGAGAGAACTAATAAGTGCTCTTTATTTTCATCCAACAAGTTCCATGTAATATTATCAAATTTCAAATAAATCAAGCATGAACAGTAGCTAGTGTGCAATACATAAATGTCTGTAAACCACGTAAAATGGTGATTTTTGTCTCACAGAGGTTTTCTTGACCTTCAACTCTTAACAATTAAAATAATACAAAAGGACATCAAAATAATACAAAAGCTAAGCCGTTTTGATCTGTTTAACTGATATTCAAATTATTTTAATTGACAAAATGTATAAAAAATTTAGAAAATGTTTTAAAAAAAACAAACCAACATGTCGGCACCAACATCCTCGTGGGCAGCGCACTGACATACAGCGGGTAAAATATGTATTGAACAATTCACTATTTTTCTCAGTAAATATATTTCTAAAGGTGCTGTTGACTTGAAATTTTCACCAGATGTCGGTAACAAACCAACTAATCCATACATACAAAGAAAACAAAGCAAATAAATTCAGAAATTAAGTTCCGTGTAATAAAATGGAATGACACAGGGAAAAAGTATTGAACACATGAAGAAAGGGAGGTGCAAAAAGGCATGGAAGTCAAGACACCAGATATCTATCAGTAACTAGAAAGCAATCCTGCCCTTATAGTCAGAGGAAATTAATATTAGCTGGTTCAGTCCCAACACCTACAGTATCAGGATGATGAAGATGAAACAAGGCTGGACATTTCAGCAAGACAATTATCCCAAACACAGCCAAGGAAACTCTCAATTGGTTTCAGAAAAAGAAAATAAAGCTGCTAGAATGGCCCAGCCAATCACCTGACTTGAATCCAATAGAAAATAAGAACTAAAGATCAGAGTTCATAGAAGAGGACCACAGAACCTTCAAGATTTGAAGACTCCGTGGAAGAATGGGCCAAAATCATACTTGAGCAATGCATACGACTAGTTTCTCCATACAGGAGGCATCTTGAAGCTGTCATTACCAACAAAGGCTTTTGTACAAAGTATTAAATACATTTCAGCAGTTCAATACTTTTTCCCTGTGTCATTCCATTTTATTACACATAACTTAATTTCTGAAATTATTTGTTTTGTTTTATTTGTATGTATGGATTGCTTTGGTTGTTACCGACATCTGGTCAAAATTTCATGTCAACAGCGTTTTTAGAAACATTTACTGGGAAAAATGGTGGCGTGTTCAATACTTATTTTACCCTCAGTTAGGGGTGCTCCGATTGATCGGCTACCGATCACTATCGGCCGATAATTGCTTTGGGATGATTGATTGGCGATCTCTAAAAAGGCCGATCTCAAAAAACCGATCTCAAGCTGATGGATGACGCGCCTGCCTAAAGAAGGTTTGGCACGACATGCAGCGTCACCGTCTCAGTCTCTGTCAGGCGCAGGTGAAATAATTATAATACTGAAGGAGAGGTACTCACCTTCATATTTCTTAATTAAATAACTTATAAAGTAATTTGAAAACCTTGTGTGAGACGTAATTTCACAAACAGTGAAGTGAAAGTGACATGTGGCCAAGTGGTGACCCATACTTGGAATTAGTGCTCTGCATTTAACCCATCCAAAGTGCACACACACAGCAGTGAACACACACACACACACCGTGAACACACACCCGGAGCAGTGGGCAGCCATTTTTTTGCTGCGGCGCCCGGGGAGCAGTTGGGGGTTCGGTGCCTTGCTCAAGGGCACCTCAGTCATGGTATTGAAGGTGGAAGAGAGCGCTGTACATTCACTCCCCCCACCTACAATCACTGCCGGTACGAGACTCGAACCCGCAACCTTTGGGTTACGAGTCCGACTCTCTAACCATTAGGCCACAACTTCCCCACAGCGTGAGTGAATCACCGCACGCGCTCGCTCTCAAAATACGCAAATGTCTTCAAATCACCACATCGCATCTATCTATAAGCGAGCTGCACGCACGCTGCACAGTTGACACAGGAATTGTCACTTGCACAATCGAGGCAGTGTCACATCGTCACGAAATCGTCATCGTAAAGTTTATAAATTGCATTTCTTTTTAATTCTTGCCAGTGTTTAACCATTCAGCACTCGCGCGCTCTCCTGGAGACCACGCTCTCATGGACA